GTGGTGGACTAGTTCCCCGAAAGGGCTTGGAATTGCCATGTAAAATGGGAACGCTAATTGGTGGGGGGGCAAACGGCATGAAACATTCATGCGTTTAAAAACTTTCTCAGCCTTAAATGGAACTTCTGAACTAGACTGCGTGAAATGGTAAGCATCGGGGAACATTCACTGGGTCCATTTCCTCTGTCCGCCCTTGCAATGAGGTACTTTGAGCTGGTTTGTATTTGAGCACGATACTAAATGTAGGTCTCATTTTTGCAGTTCTCTCGGTGACCTGACCAGAGCACAACACAACACAAATATAACGTCTGGGGGTCTGAATTTTACTGACATGGCAATACATCATCTTGTTTGCCAATCAATTCTTCAATGTCCTATTCTGAAGTAGGGCACACATTACTGCTAATTTGGCCTCTCCATTGCTGAAGGCAAGGTGACAGTAACATTTGGATTTATAGTTACGTGCCCTGCAAATGCACTCTAATATTTGAATCTTGTTGACAACAACGTCATATTGAATAAAAGGGCTGTTGATGTGTTTTTATTTGGTCATGCTGACAGTTTGTTGCTTAGTAACAGCTGCAATTACTGGTGAAGAATATGGCCGTGTTAGGAAGGCGTGGCTCGGTCAATTGAACACGAACCAACTGACCTCATTAAACAGTGTTTGACTATCTCTGTGACATAAATAGGTGACGTGTCATGGTCAGCAAAGGAGCTTAGTCAGACACACAGCTAAGATTTTATCACATTGAACCTGATGGCCAAAGTTCAAACTTACTTTGCCAATCACTCTGTAAGTCGCTAACCTTTTTACAGGGTACACTTCCATGTCACTAGCTAAAGAAGATGTTTGTGTCCATTAAAACTCACAAGTCTGATCTGTATAGATCTGTATATCTGTACAGCTGCCCAAGTCCTGGTGAATTTCCTATTTAATCCATTTAAATGTATCTGTACCAGTCGTATTAACAACCGTGCAACTCGTACCACACTTCCAAATACTGAACTTATCACATTGCACACTCCACCTCACTGAGCCAGTCTGGATCCTTTCTACCCCACATCTGTGCCATGACCTGCTCTGCCTTCCCCCACCTCAGCGACATTGCCCGACTCCGCCAATGTCTCACACCGCAGGCCCCCGAAACCCTCATACACCCATTCATTATATCCAGACTCGACTATGCAAACTCCTTGCTTGTCGGCCTCTCCAACTACTCCCTCCACAGACTGCAGATCATCCAGAACTCTGCAGCCCATGTCTTCTCCCGCACCAGGCTCCATGATCCTTTCACCCCTATCCTCGCCTGACTCCACTGGCTTCCCATCACACAGAGTATACAGCTCAAGATCCTGGTCCTCAGCTTCAAAGCGTGTTGCTCCCCCCTACCTCTGCGATCTCCTAATCCCATACCATCCAGCCGCGCTGTCCGCTCCGCTGGCTCTGGCCTGCTTCACGTCCCCCGCCTTGCCCCCCCACCATTGGCGGGTGGCCTTCTGCCATTCTGCCCCCACCCTCTGGAACTCCATCAGCATTCCCTCCGCCTCGCCCGTTCCCTTTACTCTTTCAAGACCCATCTCAAGGCCCTCCTCTTCGATCATGCCTTTGGCCATCCCCCCATTCCCCCCTGCCCTCCTCCCCTTCTGACCCCAACTACCAGCTCGGGTCCAAAACCCCTGAATGTCCAGCGCCCTGGGACATCTTGTCAATGTGAAGAGCGCTATACAAGCGTAATTTGTTGTTGTTTGTTGGTTTATAAATGCATATTGTTGTTGTTGCTGTTCGTAACAAGACCAACAACTGTCTGTGAAGATGGACGCGTGTTCTCAATGATGAGTCATCAAAAACACTCAGATTTACAATGATTCACGATGAAGTGAATGCACTTACAATCCTGCCTATTGAGCATGATTTAAAATGTAAACTAAGTTTGGATCATGCAGTTTACTTGTTTGCAACTATGAAGTCATGCAAGAAACTATTTTGAAGAGGCATTGTTGCATATTTTGAGCACATGGTTCAAAGGGCTTCCAATTGTGATCTGGCTTAGGGTCCTCATATCTCATAATCTTGCCCTGTGTGTATGTATCTCGTCTTTGCTCTCTTTCCCCCCAGCCCCCCCAAAACAATTCTGTCCCAATCTGAATCATGACCATCTGTTAACTCAAAAGCAGTGTTGGGTTCAAGAAATGAACTGATCTTTTTTTAAAAGAACACATCCATGTGTTAAAGTGGTATAAATTAATATTTGATGCCTGACTTGAAAGACTGCATCCTTTTGAAGTTCAGTGATGGTATGACACATTGTGCCGAATGTACATTTCCAGTTCACTTTGGACAGCGTTTAAGTGACTCAACAGATCATGTAGTAATTTGGCTGGACAGAGCTGCTGAGATGCATTTATAATGCTGCTTGACTGAGTCATAATGTGGGGGTAAAGGATTTCCATTGTAGTATTCAGCCAACTCACTAATTTTAAGCAGTGAACACTAGAAAAGTTCAATTGGTGGTGGTTTCTATCCATGCTGCTTAGCTTGATGAACAGGAGAGGACCATTCAGCCCATCGAGCCTTTTATTAGTTCAGTACATCTTTCTATTTCTAATCCCATTTCCTTGCCCTTTTCCATATGTTAACACTGTTGCTTCTAAGCCAATCCTCCCAAATATAGTACAGCCTTGTTGGGGTGGAGTGGGGAGGTAAGCTGGGGCTCCTTGTGGCCAAGCTCATAATCTTGGAACTGGTTCCTAGGTTACACAAAATGTCGAACCCAAGTCAATCCATGATGACAGTCTCTGTAAATCTGGTTTGTGAGCCAGGTGGGTGAGCAGTACTCAACAGATTGCTGATGACAGACCCGACCAGGAAATCACAATCATTCTGGCTCATTGGTAAGACTTGGAGGGTCAGACTGGTCACTCGGAACAAAGATTTTTCTCACTCAGCTCCTATTAACATTGCAAGCCAAAGTCCTCATGGGGAGGATGGTCCTATCTAGACAAGTAGCAGACTACCTACATCATGACACCAACGATGTCATGATTGAAACCTGATATGGCCAAGTGCCTCCATTTCTTCAGAACCGTGGCTCTGCCTCTATTTCTAAGGAAACTGAGGTGACCGAGAGCTAATGCTTTGCCTCTGCACAGCACAGCCACGATGATGCCCTGCAATGCCACATTTTTAAAACAATTGGGAATTTGAAAGTGAGTAAATTATTTGCAGTCAATTTTGGCTGATTGACATACAAAATTGGCTGACCTCAAAGTGATGGAGTAGGTCATGAGTCCTCCCTGAGCCACCATTGGCTCTGCCACTGTACAACCCACTTATGCTATACAAGTGTAGCACTCAGCGGCTCTTTAAATTGTTCCAAAATTCCTTCAAAGAAAATAATCTCTTGTAGTTGATCCAGTGGATTTTTTTTTTTGGTCAGCCGGATGTCGGACACATGCGGAAACCCATCACCATGCTCAAGAGTCTCCAAGCCAAGCTGAGATTTCCATGCATCCCACCTACACGTTGAAATCCCAGAGATAGATTGTTGGAATGGAATGCGCACTCTTTCCCTGGAGCGACACATCCTGCTCACCTAATTCTGGAAAGTATTAGGCGCAGGTTGGCAAGAGCCAAGGCTTGGTGTCCCCAGAGTGTGCAATGGAGTAACTGCTGGAGTCTAACCAACTAAAACTACATAGCTTGCCATTGATGGTACTGTTCTAATTTCTATTTCCCCCCCAAAGACAAACTAGCATGTTTTTCTGTAATTGTTCGCCCCTATTAACACCAACAATCCCAAAGTTCACTTAGGCTGTACATTTTACAAGGAAATTTTTCCAGCTTGTGTCTATAAGCTGAAATGCTTTTTTGGTTTTGTTGATGACTACAATTGTTAAGCATTGACAGACGCAATATAAAGTGAGAACAGCACACTGGGTCTAATTCAGACATACATGGTTTTGTATTGTAGTGCCAGCCACGTTATGGGTACCACATATGTTATATTTAAAAATCCCAGTTTTTCTTCATTTGTGTGCCATCGTATGTTTTGGCAGTGACTTCTACTAATTGTTTGATAAATTAATATTATCCCAATGCACATTCTGGGGTTCCAAGCACTCTTTCTGGCCTGCGCCGAAACTCTCTGGGGTTAGGTTAAACACGCCACTCTCCATGCCAGAATACCAAGATGCCATTTTCCCCATCAACATTATTAGTGGAGTCCTGCACCCCGGCCTCATACACTGGTGAGCAACTCCAAGTGTAATATTGAATTGAATGCTGTTAAATCGCAGACTTGGCCAAGAAGCTGTAACAAAGGTGGATGATGTCAGCGCACAAGTCAGACCTACAAATGAGCATGCCATAAAGCATTGCAGAAAGTGCAGTTTATACATTAGATTGCAGGATAATAAAGAGAATTGCAGTCACATTTTAGAGTGGTTGTCAGGGTCTCAGTGGGGGTGGGGTTGAACAGGATCCAGCTGTACCTCCGCTCACTTGTCACTTTCAGTTCATACCTGTTAAAAACTAATCTGATAGGCTGGTTTCTTTTCAATCCCACGTGATGTGACGTGGAAGCAGTGCTTTGAAAGGATTGGGGAACAATACTTGAGGAAGCTTTCTTCACTTTTAGCAACATTCAGGCATTGTGCCCAATTTATATCTGGATTCATATTGATATACAATGCCCTGCAACAGTCTTGTGTTTACACTCTACGTGAATCATTCTTTCTCAGTGAGAAAACTGAAAATTTATTATTTGAGCCATTTTACCAGCTAATTAGCTGCTCTGAATATAGGTTTTCTCTCTCTTTCGCTATATAAAAGAATATCAGTATTTAGCCTTGGCTTTATTTAAATGTCTGGCTTCATGTGTTTATACAAGGCTGCCAAGCGAGAACTTCCACATATTTACAAACTTCCTGACTAAGGCCCAGAATGAATGCCCTGTTGGTTGAGCCGGCTGATGTGGGCGGGTATTTTCTCAGGGGCCTGAGCACATTCTCTTCACAAAGTGTTGCTTGCGAGGCTACTGAGAGTCTGATTGTGAAAGGGGTGGGTGGGGAGACCAGATGATCTCACAACAAGAAAAGCTGCGAGCTGTGCACACTGCTCTGTGTATTCTGGGTTTGTGTTTTTAAGTCCTTGAAACAAGCAAATGTAGCTTAAGGTGGTTGCTTTAACTGCATATGAGTTTAAATAGGAAGACAAGCTGAAAGCTTATGGAAATGGCACCATTGTTCAGCTGGGTGGCGAAGGTAAGGAGTTCAGAAATTCATATTTACTCACCTCTCTGCTGCGAAACAGCTCTTTTGTTTTACCTTCTCTGCAGATGCTGAAAATGAAGATCTCTTTTTAAAAACTTTTTAAATGTTCTCTCGTCTTCAATATGATTGATCACTCAGTTTTTATTTTAAATAATTTTTTGTATTGTGAAATGCAGTGTTTTTCTCCATGCAGCATGACATGAATACTATACTATATTTACTAGTATTGAACTGTCCTAAGGGCCATGGCTGGCCTCTGATCAGATTTGTTTGAGTTGGCTTTTAATTGTTCACTGTGGCAAATGTTACAGACCCTAATTTTATATCCAGTTTGGTTGTGAACCAAGATTAAACTAATGTTGATTTGTAATGTGTTTTCTTTCTGTGGTTTGGGTCTGGCTTTGAGGTTGATTATCTAAAAGCAGATGAGGTTCATCTGACATTCCTTTTGAGGCTGGTTTACTTATTTCTGTGTTGATGGTGCTATAGAGCAACAATTTGGTGGGGTTCAGACGTGTGTGTATGGCTGATTGAAATATTAGGCCAGGGTTGTTTCCAGTGAATATTTTTCATTTCATTCTTGACTGAGTGTTTACTTTTCTTTTTCTCCCTCTACCCTTTCCCTCTTCCTTTCAGGCAATCTAACTGATAAACTATCATCCTAGAAGTGGGGGGATAGTGGGGGAGAGAAATGTAAGAAGGATCCCTTTGGGACTGGCTCCATGGGACATGCCTTGCAATGGAATATTAAAATTGAGTTAGTGTCTCGATAGTCTGGTTCCTGAGCCTGGTGTGCATTACGTCAAGGCATTGCTGATGACAGACCAGTTGACCAGACTTGTCAACAAGACTTGAAGGAACAGACTGGTCACTGAGGGCAGGAATTCTTGCGCCCTCTGGGATTGCCCACAAAAATGCCCACAGTAACATCTATATGCTGTGTATCCTATGAAGCACTTTGAGACATTTCAATGATGTGATACGGTGCTATATCAAATGCAAGTATTATCATAATAATTACTATTATGGGGGGAAAAGGGAAATTGGGCTGGTGGGGGTTGTTTAACAGGTTGCTATTAGTTTGCTTCCTATTGGGAGGGAGTTGGAGGTGGTTTGGAAAGCAAGCTGAGGCCTGCCCACACTTTAAAACTTGGCGAGGAAACAGGCTGTGATGTTTCAAAACAAAAAAAAGACAATCTTTTTGTCTTAAACGTTTTTTAACCTTTACATCTCTTCAGTTACAGGTTATGATTTATATTCATTGACCCCCACCCTTGGTTATTGCAAGATGTTTTCAAATTCATCTTAAGGGAATCTTACTGAAGGCTGTATTGTAAACCACAGGTTTTGTTACCGTCAGCCTTTCATTTTATACATTATATATCTATTAGTGGGTAGATATCAGGGTGAGGGCTAGGATCTTCTGCTTGGGCACTCCCATCTCCCAGTATTTCTGAACCTGACACATGTTAAGAAAATTGTACTGTTTTTTTTGTCATGCATGTGAATCAGTATTTAAAGTTGATTTGCAAAATTAATAGGTATTGGCTGGAAACTTTCAAGAATATAACATTGTTGTCTAATTCCTAATAAAGTTGTTCCTGCAAATTTTCATGTATTATCTCTATCTGGCTATGCTAGAGCTTGCTTTCAACACTGATTTTTCTTTATTTGGAAAGCAGCAGAATGGCTAGCTTTGCTTTTTGGTGTGTGCTGTAAATTTGCTTTAAAAAGCCTTGCAAAAGTAGACAGTTATAAATTGCCAAGTATAGTTCAACATAGCAAAATGAGACTGTACACCCTGGATATAATAATAATCATCCTTGCATTTGATACAGCACCTTATCACGTCTTTAAGACATCTTAAAGCGCTTCACAGAATATACTGTAAAGTGAATTGATTATATTTTGTGGGTGGAAAATGGCAGTAGATTCTTAATTGGAAGGCATTAGATGGACAATTAAACAGATTATCAAATATTCTAGACTGAATTGGATAGTCGTTTGGTGAAGAAAGGACGGTCGGAGAGACAAGTCATGGCAAATTCATGTGGGTATGTACAGCACTATGCAGGTGGGGGATATTGGATACAGTTTCTGGTCCTCGATAGCTTATGTATTCTAAATATTTTTTTAACACCAGTAATCATTTCATTTAATTGGTTGACGAGTGAAGCTGTATATATAAATGTAAATTAGGAATGTATGGTAATTTCTTTCCCCTCTCTGAATTCACTGACTGATGCTGGAGCATGTCTCCGCAGGCACTGTCTACCCTTCTCCAATAACTTACCCAAGTGACCATTCTTCATTTGTGATCCTTGATATTAAAGTGCGGGAAGCCATCCCGTCAAGTCCATTTCTGTCCTCCCCTAAGAGCTCCTCTCATACTTTGCAATGTATCCCCTTTCCCCCAAACTCAGGGGTGCTGAAAGTAACTGTAGAACCCCTACAGCTGCCTTAGCAACAACAACAATTTGCACTATATAGCGTCCTCCACGCCGTTCAGCATCTCAGAGCGCTTAACAGTGGCAAAGCCTTGCACCGAGCCGAGGGGAGGGGAGAGTTGGCCGTAAGCACGGTCAAACAGAAAAGTTTTCAGGCGGGACTTGAAAGAGGGGAGAGAGGGGGCAAGGCGTAGGGATTGTGGGAGAGTGTTCCAGAGTTTTGTGGTGCAGTGGCTGAAAGCATGACCTCCGATGGTGGGGCGGAGGGTGTGAGGGATGAGCAGGAGGCTGGTGCCAGTTGAGCGGAGGTGGTGGATGGGGGAGTGAAGAGGTCGGAGAAGTAGGGAGGTGCCACAAGTGAATGGAATTGAACACGAGTAAGGATCGATCACTTGGGAGAGACAAGAGGTCAAACCACCTTTTTGAATTTATTAACTTTTTTATTGTACTTATTACAGTTCTGGACCATGAATGTGTCTTTTTGTCCTTCAGCCCATCCCTCAATGTAATATTGATGCCTTCTGTTAAAGTCAATGTGCTCTTTAAGATGGTGAGCAGTAGCGGGGAAGGTGATAAATGTTTCAGGTTGTCACTGAAAAATGTTCAGTGTGCTTGGTGAAGTGAAGGAGAAGGAATTCTTGTATTGATGTGCTACTCGTGTTATGACTTTGGCTCAAGTGCTAACAAAAATGTACTGTTTGGGATGGCTATTTGTGAGGCTGAGGAAGTGTACGCAAGACTAAGTTTAACATTTATATAGAAAAGCTGGCTTAGCTGGACTCCTCCCAAACCAGATGTAAGGGATCAAATTTTAGGTCTCGGAAAATTCCAGATGCTTCGGCATGTAATGGTACATAAAATTACAAGTAACCTATTTGATATACATTTCAGCTACTGTGTACATGTGGATGATTTGAACCATATGTTGCTCCACCCTAGAGAAGAGATTTTACCTGAATAGTCTTGTTTTGAAAATGGCTCAGAGCATGAGTGAGTGGAAGGTCTATTGGAAAAGAAAAGGGAGTGTGTGGGTTGGACAGATTTAGTTCAAACTGAGTGGCTATACGCTCCTATAAAAACATTGACTTCCTCGAATTCTAATTACATTTAAGCTTAAATCATGCCAACATTATTTATTCTACAGTTTAAAGCTCAATGGTTTATTTGACCAATATGCTCAATTGCCTACTATATGTATTGGTGCTACACTTGAGCAATGTTAGTTTTATGCTTGAGTATTCTAGGGTGATAGTGGTGATATAGTTGCTGGATGTCGGGTAATACAGTATTGTATGCCGGTTTCAATGCTCTACCTTATAATAATGAGCCTTGCATTTGATACGTCACTGATGTAAGATAACTAGAGTTGAGGACATCTGAAAACTGATGACTACCATACTTCAAGAGGAAGTTTCAAAACATTTCCTAATAACCACAGTGTTCTTTGTGTCAGGCAGTGCCTTCTGTTTCCAATGCTATTTTGTTTTGAAGCAACATTTGCATCCAGTCCTGCTTGTGGCAGTGACTGATGTCCTAATCCAAGATAATTTTTTTTAAATCAACATTTTGCAAGGAAGTGTTTTGCAGAAAATTTTACATAGTTACATCGCAGAAATAAACCATTAAAGCCCATCAAATCTCCTTTGGTGGGCGTTTTTCCTCTACATGAGCCATCTTGTCTGTCCCCAGTCTCTTGCTCGCTTCCCATACCCTTCAATATATTTTTGAGCAAAAATTCCCTTTTAAAAATAATACATGATTTTGCCTCAATAATGAAAGGACATTCAGAAGCAATTTGTAATCTTGACATTTCATCCATATTCTTTCTCATTCAGTTGAAACAATAATGAGGGATTACAGTTTAAAAACAAAAGTGTTACTTATAAAACCAAGCAGAACTACAACTGAATCGTGAAGCTGCTTTACCACAGATTCCAATCATTGAATTATTTCCGTGCCTAATTCAAAGTAAGGGTTGTTTTTTGAAGAAGTAATGGGTTTTGTTTTCACTGGACTCTTCCTTGCTGCTTGTTCGGTTTCTGGTGATCAGTAAACCCAAAGAAAAACATTGAGTTTAGTGTTGTGAGTGAGCCCTGCACACAGATATTTGCGGAGGGGGGGAAGGAGGGAGCAATTCACAAGCAGACACTTAGGACTAAGCACAGAAGAATTGCCTTTTTTGGATTCATTTTCCCTGTTTGCTCTGTACTTGCCTATACAAACGAGGTAGGGGGAGAAAAAAGTGCAAATATGGCCAAGTGGTCCGTCTGCACTAGAATCTACTATCTTTATCTTGGATTCTTCAGTAGGTGGAAAGGGGAAGGTTTTAGATGGGGGGAAGGGTTTACAAGTGCATAGTTTTGAGATGCATTTCACAACTTTTACTCAATGTAAATTCCTGAATGTTTGAGTAATGGACTGAGCCTGCTAATAATACTACTACTGTACCCATAATAATCCTTGTATTTGGAATAGCGCATTTCACATTGGAGGACATCTGAAAGCACATGACAGAATATACTGTAAAATGTAGTGACTTGAGTG